AAGTAGTATGACATTCAAAGATTAATTCAACTTTTCTCTCCCACTCTAAATATGCCTCCTAGTCACTTCTCTCTTTAAATTGTGGAATCGCCATTTTAATGTTTCCCATATTTCCATCTATCTCATCTCCACGATTATTCCTGCCCCGTCTTTCAAACCTGTCACCTCTATTCCTCATTCGTCCCATATCAACTCCATTGAACCCATCCTCATCCATATCACTACCATATTCACATTCTTCATACCTTTCTCTCCTAGGCTCCCGTCTACCCGGTCCTCTAGCATTAGACTTTGAACCCGCTATCCCCTACTAGGATTAGTCTATGATGTGTACATGTCGGATGAACCAAATCCTCATTAAATTTGATTTTTCCATTAGAAAGGGCCCGTACTTTCTGATGTGTTGAACGAGTTTTAGGTTGAGGACGAAGCTCGTACTTTAGGTGGAAACTTGTGGAGAAGTTGAGCTTCGACCGACCTTAACGGCCTTGTCAAGGCCATAAGCCCCCGCGAGTGCTATCTAGGAGGGTAGATCATCTGCAGTCTTTTTAAATCTAAACTTTCGGTAAGGCGAATAAATCTGATGGAGAATTTGTCTACTGGGATAACAAGAGGTTTGCCAATTCCTGATGTTGAAGCCTTAGCTGTTGTGGGGCTGGGTGTTTGCAAATTTTACTCTTAGTAACTCTTATGTTCGAAGCAAGATGTTGTCTAATTAGAACATGAATTACAAATGTCTGGAAAATCTTCTGCCTCAACTCTCTTTCCTTTGGTTTGGTTAAAACCTCGGCGCTGACAGTGATGACTTGGCATGTACGAACTTCAAGTAGCGGTGCCCTGAAACAAAGAAAGGGGCAATGTATCATCTATTCAGTCTTTTCCCCCTGACTTTCCTAGCTACCAAGCCCCTTTTCAAACCCTTGCCAGAAGGATACTTGAGCCTATCTCTCTTTAGTGAAATGAACAAACGGAATGAACATCGTCCATTGTCTAATCGTAACGAACTTGACTCTACATTTGAAAAAAAAAAAGAGCAGGGAGACCTTTGAATCCAAGCTTCCTACTTACCCATCCGAACTTCCTGTCTATCCATCATATCTCTCCCATCCCTAAGAGCCGTTTCAAATTGCAGTATGAAGTCGTCCGACGTGTTGTTGTGATTGCCATTTCAGCTGGAATTGGAATCTTCTCTTTCAGACATCCTAAATCTAGCTTTTTTTGGCCTCACTGGTATTCACTCGGAAACACACAATATGGCTTTTACCCTCTATTAATCTCACCACTCTATCTTTTACCACCGAGTGCTTTCTCCAAGTGTTTCAAAGAATAAGGTGAACTTAAAGAAACTCAAATCCGTGGATTCTCAACCGGATGTGAACAAAGAAAATGACTCAAGAAAAGGAATTCGATGATAGAAACTCAAGTAGAAGACTATTGAAATTCAAGAATTAATTGACATGAAATTTATATTGATGGAAAAGGAATAATGAGACTTGAAAGTTAAAATAAAATTTGTTGGTTGTAAATTGAACACTAAGAAAATAATAATAATATTTTTTTTGCTCTTTTCTTTTTTCTTTTTTTGCCTTTTCAATTGTTTTTTTTTTTTTTTTTTTTTTTATATTTTTTTTTTTTTTTTTTTTTTTTTTTTTTTTTTTTTTTTTTTTTTTTTTCTTTTTTATTTTTTTTTCTTTTTTTTTTTTTTTTTTTTGAAAAACAAAAGATCAAACTACCAACAAACCAATAAAGTTGTTTTGGATGCTAGAATAGCCCCAAAACAACCTTTGAACAATTTGATGATAATTTAATTGGATCAAAAGACTTAAATAACAAAGAACAACGATGACACGACGAAGGACGAAGAAAATACGAATTAAAATACTCAAACTTTAATGAGACACAAAGAGCACGAGGAAATATAAGATAAAACATGGAAACAAAGAACAAAGACTCAACAAAGAAAAATTAAAAGGATATAACCTGATAATTTGGAGCTTGTGCTCTGATTCCAACTGATGTGAACCCATGTAGCAACGATGGCTACAGAACCCACAGAAGATTGATAGGAAACCCAGAAAAGCCAATTAACTGGTTTGTGAGTTTGAACCCAAGAAAAGTGAACCAAAGAACCCAACATTAGCGGTGATTTAAAGATTCCTTGATTACACAATCAAAGACCCGTACCCAGATTTGGGAATGCCACAAGAATGTAATTCTTGATAAGTTCAAAGTGTTCAATGAAGAACAAGAGTTGAATGCAAATAACCTTGCTATTGAATTCTCTCTAAATAATAATGTAATGTAATGTGTTTTACAATAAAAGGAAATAACAAATTTATACTAGACTCCAAAAACCCTAAAAAATCTTTAAGGAAACGAAAAATAATCGTCCAAGATTACAGTAATTTGACTAAAATTAGAATTCTACTAAAATATGGAAACTCACGAAGAAGGGAAAATTTTCGCCCGAAATTACACTATGCGGTCGCATAATATAATCCAATGTAGTCGTATAGTTCATTTGAAATCTTTCAATTTGGTCTCGGGAATGTTCTATGCGATCACATGCCTTTTATACTATGTGGTCATATAGTATTAAATTTCAACACCAACTTTTCATGTGCAGAATTTCATGACGATTTCGGATTGTACTCATGGACAAAAATCTGATTCTCGAGCTGAAAGTTACGCCCATTTTAATCAAAGGCTTGAATCAAATTGCTCCAATTTGTTTCGATTCTCGACCCCAACATAGAAGTTGTCCCATTTTGTGCCATGAGTGATATTTCATTGATTATGGATTGAACAAGTAATTCAATTGCTTGTTTTACCTGCTTTGCCCTCGATCTCGTCATCGGTCCATCTTCAATTATCAACGAGTCTCGTCTCGGCTCATCTTTGTTGGGCTCAACTCTAGGATCATATAACAAGTCTTCATCTCCAATCAAAACCAAATCTTAACACACTCATTTTTCTTAATTCTCAAGATCCTCTATGAAAAATGAGCCACAATCTAGGATCGAGCAGCCATTCTGAAACTACAATGATATAAGCATCCAGAGTAATATGTTGAAAGTGATTTTATATAAAGATAGAAAATCCACAACTGACTACCTTACATGAGGCCACAGAGTACCTTACCAATGCCATACGATGCATTAAGTAAAATTAAATGACCGCTATATGCATTGTCGAAGCTAAGGCAGAATATCCTAACTAAAACAGGGGCATCCAGCCACCTGTTCGAAGGAACCTGTAGATCCTAACGAAAGCGTTCTGCAAGAAAATAACTAACATAACTTAGACGTCCCTATAAGGAGCTCTGAATATTAAATGGACATGAACCATTATCACTTGGGATATCATGATTCATCCCCCAAAGAGAAGGTTGACTAACCAACACAGGCCTGCTACAGAACAAAGGGAATAACAGGTGCTGGATCGATTATGAAAGCACGTAGCAGACTTACAAGTCAAACAAAAAGGTATGGCTAAGGAGTACTTCACCAGTCGACATTCCATTTTTATTGAATATATACATTCAGAGCCAACAATAAAGAAATTAGAATGTCTCAATTCATTGGCCGTGAAGAGAAGGTTATCCCATAAAGAAATCCTCTACAGGCTCCCATCGTTAAGAACGAACTCTACAAATCTCACTCAAAGGAAATACTGCTCATACCATAGGTTAATATGTCATGATATAGAAATGTTGAGACATAAGAGAGGAAGTAGAGCGTTAATTAGGAAAGGTCGGTTGTGTAAATTCGTAAGTTAGGTGACATAGTAGGAACTTCGCAACATAACAAAGCTAATGTTCTTTCTTCATCTTTTCTTCCTGCAAGAGAAAATCAGCCAAGGGCAGAGAACTAAATGCTAGAAGGAAAAAATTAATAAGCTAAAGGTTTTTAGAAGAGAGTGGAGTAGACACGTGAGGAAAGCACAGAATCAGTAGTACCATGAAGGTAGTATCAATTGGTCATCACCATCAGGGGCGGAGCTAGGATTTATGTTCAGTGCGGGCATCATTTTTCGACGCCGAATTTCGAGATTTTGGTCATAAATTTAATGATGATAAAAAAATAAAGCAATATTAGAACAATACTAAAAAGACATAATTTATATATTAAATTTGTTCTTTGCGAGTTTTCATATTTTGATATCGTCGTACAATAACTTCATTATCAAGCTTCAAAAATATATCTTTCTCTACATAAACAATTGTGCTATCATTCATTCACTGATTACCCATCCGATTGCGCAATCTATCCTTTACAATACTCATTGCAGAAAAGACTCTCTCCACAGTAGCGGTAGCAACCGGTAAAATCAATGCCAAAGTCAAAAGTCTGTAAACCAAAGGATAAACCCTATCTTTCTTTTTCGGAACTAATTTCTTCGCAAGATCACCAAGATCATTCAACCCTTCAAACTCTTTGTTAGAAAGCATGTCAAAAATATAAGTCTCAAGCTAATCGTTCAGTACAATTACATTCACTGAAGAGAAATCTAATGGATAAAACTCAGCAAGTCTAATCAAGCTTTTCTTGTCAAAAGAAGAAAATAAATCTTGTGGACATAAACAAGCTACAAAAAGGAGTAACTTTGTATTTACCTCCGAGAAACGATCATTCAATTCTTGAAATTGTAAATCGATGACAGAATAGAACAAATCTACTCGGTAATGATGTAAATTTGTAATTTCTGGAGAATTACGCTGAGGGCGACCACGAAGTGCAGGGCGTACAGACATATCATCCATGTTGGGTATATGAATGTAATGTTGTTGACAAAAAGAACATCTTCCAAAAAAGAGTCCCACCCTTCGTCTCTCATTATTTGGAGTCGTCGTTTGCACAATCTCACCAATTGCATTGCATTCACAATATCTTGATCTTTCCTTTGCAATGCCTTTGACAGTTCATTTGACATCCCCAAGATACTTCTCATCAACTGTAGATTAAATGCAAAATCAAATTTTTGTATCAACTCCAATAAATTTATTGCATCAGATCTTTAATCATAAGAACAAGATTCATCTTCAACAATCGTTGCAAGTACATCTAAAACAGAAGAGAACATGGCAAGCAAGCTGACCAAAGAATTATAATGTGAACTCCATCGTGTATCACCAGAGCGCTGAAGGGTCGTTTCTTGATTAAGTCCCCGTCCACTTAAAATCTCACCTTTTCCAATGCCTCAACAATAAAGTCTAACTGTTTTTCTCGAAGAAGATCACAACGTTTGGAAGATGCTCCAACAGTATTTATCACGTCCCCAACCACACGAAAGAAGTTAGTAATAGGGATGTTCTTCTTTGGCACAGCCACAAGTGCAAGTTGGAGTTGATGAGCAAAACAGTGAATGTAAAAGGCACATGGACTCTCCTTCAAAATTAGTGTCTTCAGACCATTAAACTTACCTTGCATATTACTTGCTCCATCATAACCTTGTCCTCTCAGTCTAGACATGCTCAAGTTATATCTAGAAAATACCTTATCAATTGCAGTCTTAAGTGATAGAGCCGTGGTACTTGTAACATGTTCAATCCCTATGAAGCGTTCATTGACATACCCACTATTGTCTACATAACGTAAAACAATAGACATTTTCTCTTTCATTGACACATCACGAGATTCATCAACTAGAATAGAAAATAATGAGTCCCCAACATCTTTGATAATAACATTGATCGTTTCAATGGCACAAGCATTTACTATATCCTTTTGAACATCAGGTGATGTCAATTTGCAATTGTGAGGAGCATTTCCCAATGTAACGGCATTAATAGCTTCATTATGAGCAACCAAAAATTGCAATTGCACTAAGAATTTACCTGGATTGAGAGAATCCTCAGATTCATCATGACCTCGAAATGAGAGCCCTTGTCGCAAAAGAACTCGAACACAATCAATGGATGCATTAAGACGTGTAACATATGCACTTCTTGCTTGTTCTGATTGTGTAGAAAACTAATTGAATGTGTTGCTCTTGATTCATCAACACTTCACACTTAATGCGAGCTTGATTATGTGCGCTATCATGAAGTCCAACATGAGTATGAAGTCTTTTTTTATCTTTCCAATATGTAAAACCTTCGCCAACAAAAGACTCACCGCCACCTTGTTTTTCAGAACTTGTTTTGAAAAGATAACAATACAAACAATAAGCAGCGTCCTTCTCTATACTGTACTCCAACCAACTACTGAACTCTTTAAACCACGAAGGATTGAATCGTCTAATTGTTACTCCAAATTGTCGTTTTGGAAAGTCATGATCTCCAGGCTGACAAGGACCCTTTAACATATATGCTCTTCGAACTTCATCTCAGATGTTAGCATTGTAATCCAAAATAGGTATCCTTAGACCAGGATCAGTTGGAAGTTTTGTGACATCAAATTCCACATCATTCGATACCCCCTCATCAATATTATCTACGTTCCTTTTTCGTTGAAAGTATCTATTCATTTCATATCTGAATTTAAACATTTGATATCCAATTATTACTGGGAGTGAGTGAGAATAATTCATAATGACAAAAGAATCATAAATTCACAATTTCACAATCTCAATTCGCAGTGCAATTCACATCTCAAGTTGTTATAACCAATATTAATACAAGTTGAATTCGGAATACGAATAAAAAATGTGAAGGAAAAAAATCTGCACATTTAAAATTTCCATTAAAATATCAACAATGTTAAAGGGAAGTATTCATTTTGGAGTAAAATTGATGACTTGAAATCAAGCTTTTATTTGGGTCAAACAATTAAAGACATCAAACCAGTTGACAAATGATGAAACACACAAGACAGTAGGCTGACAAATAAAATACCTCTGTTAAAAAGGAGTTTATGTTGTAAAATGTCATGAATTGGATAGCAGTACATGCTCCATCCGGATCAACTGCATAAACAGTGAAAATAATGCTCCATCCAGATCAACTGCATAAAATTTTCGACAATCAAATAAACATGAAGGTCGAGCTTCATTTTTTAAGCCAAAAACAGTGAATTCAATGAACAAGAATTGAACAATCTTCTTGAGAAAAGATTTTGCAAAATTGGGAAAAACACTTAGAATACTACAATGCAGTGGAAATAATTTTAAATTACAAATCGAAACACTCAAACACGGCCAAATTATTATACAAATAAACGTGTTCCATTTCATTCGTTTCATCTGGAAACAATTCTGTCCAGCCGACTCCAGCGGCTCCAGCCAGTCCAGGAAATAAATGACAATAAATACAAGCTTCATAGACATAAAGGACACCTTTTTTTACACTAGTAGTCGAACAATTCATGAAATATTACCTTCATCGATGCAAAATGGCAGTTCAGTTGCGGCGGCCTGCGGACTTGGGTGGGGGAAAATTGGGGTTTCGAGTTTCGACTTTGGGGATATTTGATAAACTAATCCAGGAGATGTGGCCACCGGTGGAGAACTGGAAGTAGAAGTAGCCGGCGAGAGTCCGGCGGAGCTTCGAGAGAAGCAAGCGACCCTGAGGCGAGAGATGGGGAGAGAGACGCGATTTTGATTAGGTTTTGATTAGATTTTTGATTTCAAACGGGTTTGGTTAGATGTTGATTTCAAACGGGTTATTTAATTGATGGGTCATGGGTCTGGGTCGGTAAACGGGTTATGGGCTGTGGTTACTTCACTTGGGCTGCTGTTAACTAGGCTTAAAAAAAAAATTTGGGCCAGCCCAAAAGTTCAGTGCGGGCATCTGCCCGCACTGGGCCTAATGGGGCCCGCACTGGGCCTAATGGGGCTCCGCCCTCAATCACCATACTAATAAAAAGTTCGACATTCATAAAATCTCTTAGATAATAAGAGTTCTTTTCGCCATAGAACAAATGGGATTCACAAAATGATATCCCAGGCTATTCTTCAAGCTACTAAATGGTTTCAGCAAGAGGACAAATATTCCTCATGGTAGAGCTGGGAAAACCACTATGCTATCAAAGAGTGATCACTGACTTCATGATAGTTAACCTTTTGTCTAACTACAATGCAATCTTACAATAATCCATACTCGTAGCCCAAGAATGACAAATTAAGAAGGGGGTGAATTGGTTTCTGAAATTTTTTTGAACACGATGATCAATTAAGTAATAATCTTTGGCAAAAAAGAAAGACCGTAAAACAGTAGAAATGATGCAAACGGTATAATTGTGGATGTTCGATCCAAATTAATGATCTACATCACCGTTACCAAACTCTCCATCATAAGTAAGGCCTTTTTGCTATATTAATTGACTTATGGTGTAATCCGAAACTTTACAATGCTTTTGATGACCTACAAACAAAAAGCATTGATCCTTATACAATATTGGGCTTTTAAAGGACTTCAATATGACCCACAAGTTTAAAGTAATGATTTTGCAATGGAATTTCTCACTTAATAAATGTATAAATGAATGAGTACTATAGAGAGACTAACACTTTAATGAATAACTATGAATAATAGCTTAAGTACTAGATGAAAAACTTTGATGAATGTGATGATTTAAAAGTTTATTCAATCAATTAAAGTTTTTGATACAAAAAAGTAAGAAATAGATGCAATATAAGCTCAAAGATTTACTCAAAAGATATATTTCATTTATGAATGATAATAGTAAGTTAAGTACCAAGAGAGAGATGAAAAACTTTGATGAATATGATGATTTAAGAGTTTAATTCAATTAATTAAAGTTTTTCAATATGAATAAATAGAAGAAATAAATGCAATGTAAGCTTAAGGATTTTCTTAAAATATTTATCTCTTTTAATGTACTTGACGACCTCGTATTGAATATAAAAAGAGAACCAATTTATAGAGAAAAATTTGCAAAACTCTTTGGGAGTTTGGATAAGGGTCTTGTGATCACCAAAAATTCAAATGACAAAAATATAGTTGTTGAACAAAGACGTCAGAGGTCATAATGATCAGATTTTAGTCTATTTAGTTTTTCGGTAGATTAATAGTTTTGATCGATCGATTGCAACCGATTGACAGCTTCTAGGTGATTTTTCTCGTTTTGGCTCTATTTGATCTAAATCGAATGTTTTGAAAAATTTGAACTTTTAGAAAGTATTTTTAGCTAGTTTTTTTTTTTTTTTTTTTTTTTTTAAAGTAAGTGATGTTTTAAAAATATTATCTAAGTTCAAGTAACTTTTTGAAAATCAATCTTACATTTGATCAAAACATTTTATGCAAATAAAAATCAAAACAACTTTTAGTGCATAAAATGGTTTATGAGCTTTAATCATTTTTTTCTAAAAATCAAAGTATTAGTACTTTTATATTTGAACTAAAAGCCATGGACGTTTAGTGTTTAAGTTTTTGTCTTAATCTTTCTTAGATGTTTGGCTCTTAAAGCTCTTGTCTTGAAGGATTCAAGTTAATCTTGACCTTCATTGTGAGTTTGATTTGTAATGATAGCTTTGATCATAATCTTTTCCGATGATTGATTGATTTGTCATTGGATGTGTTGAAGATTATAATCACTTAAGTTGAATTATTAGTATGAAAGATTAACTTTTTCATTATAATAAAAATTGTAAGATTATAATTAATCATAGATCAACAATTTTTCCCTTTTTGATTATGACAAACAAGACGATTTGCAACGTAATATCAATAATTGCTAAAGGATAAAAATCTCATATTTAACATCTATTCCCCCTTTCTTTTATAAACCAATTGTCATCCATTTAAAGCATATCAAATAATAGATGGTTTTATAGCATATCATTTAATCATTCAATGCACATCAAATCTACCTCACTCATTTTTTCCCTTTTTGACATAAGCAAAAAGATCATGCATATGAGGTAAGAGTACGACATATACGATAAAAACTTTAACACAACCATGGTAAAGAGTAATATTCCATGTCAATTAAGCCCAAAGATCAAATATATGCAAGTCTAAACAAGAGAATGATCATCACATTCATAGCAAAATATATATCAAAGCACAAGTGATGAAATGTCAAAACATAATCAATTGGGTAAAGTTTATAAAAAAAAATTAACATATAAATCTCAACCAATGGTGCATATAAAATCAATCATGTAAGCATACAATTTAGCCACATACTTCAAATTCATTAATAATTCCAAATCTCTTCGAATATGTGAAAATCTATCAAGTGCTAGAGGTTTAGTGAAAATGTCGACCAATTATTTTTCATATTATCAAATTTTAGTGTAATATCACCTTTTGTGCATGATTTCTTAACAAGTGGTGTCTAATCTCAATCTCTTGGTTCGAGAATGTCAGATTGAATATTTTTGACAAGTTTATGACACTACTATTATCAACTATGATAGGTATATGATCAAAAGGTAAATGATAATTACTTAGTATTTGTTTCATCTATAAAACTTGAGCACAACTAGTGGTTTAAATATATTCGACTTTGACGGTAGACAATGCAACATAATTTTGTTTCTTACTAAACCATGATACAAGTCAGTAGTCTAAGGAGTGAGAAGCTTCGCCAGTGCTCTTATCGTCAATTGTGCAACAGTTCAATCGCCATCCGAATACTAGTTAAATCAATATTAGTGCCCTTAGCATACCAAAGACCTAATGTTCTAGTGCCATTAAGATATCTAAAAAGTCGTTTAACGACACTAATGTGTCCATTTTTAGGATTAGATTGAAATCTCGTACATAAACATACACTAAACATAATATCAAGTCTACTACCGGTTAAGTAAAGAATAGATCTGATCATATCTCGATATTTTACTATGTCGACGTAAGTACGTTGATCGTCTTTTCCGATTTGTTTTGAAGAACTTATTGGAGTATTCATAGGCTTCAACTCCGTCATTTCAAACTCTTTGAGTATATTCATGTACAATAATGTTTTTGTAAAACCTTGCATGGAAGAATGAGTTGATTTGCACTAAGTTCGGTGATTTTTTCTATTTTCTTCCTAGTGACTCTACGACATGCTTGAGTAAGATTATATCCCTCCAAAGTGGGATGAGTTTAATGAAGAACAATTTGAGTTTCACACATTTCAAGCTCTAGAATATCTCAGATGAGAGCTTTTGTTGATGTTAATGCAGATGTTTTTAAGTAAACAAGAAGTTTCATCCGAACGAGGAGTAATGACCATGTTTTTATAAAATTATTTCATGAGATGTGGATATGTATGTTCCTCCAATGTAGCAATTGACACATAACCCATATATTCAAAATATTCTTCTATGTGAAATGAGGGTGCTTCAATGATAAAATAAGCAAAATCAACATTTTTACCAAATAGAATTAGAGATTTTTCAAAAGGGTTGGCGGCACT